TACACCAAAGAAGGAATAATATTTATATAACTGGAGTCCCAAGGAACAAAAAAAGTGGAACAGAACTAATATTTATAACTATTGAGAATATCTGGATGTAAAGCACTTGAATCTCCATGTTGAAGGGCTCATTAGCACCACGGTAAAGTAACAGGCAGGTGGGGCCCACGCAGTCCGCCTGGAGGATTCAACCGGGTGGCCCAGGGTGTGAAACCATTAAGAGGTAAACTAACCCTTAATAATCAACTCAATGCCATATTTTCATAAAGCTACCACACAGCGGTAAAGAATACTTAGGATCACCAGGGAAAAGATTAAATAACTTATAAGGAAAGATAATTAGACCAGCACGAGTCTTCTCAAAAGCAACAGACAAAGCAAGGCAACAATGGAGCAACATTTTCAAGAAACTCAAGAGAAGAAAGTGCAAATCAAAGATTTTTTCCCCTCCAGCCAAGCAGAAAAACAATTTTAAACATGTAAGAGCTCAGGGAATTCCGTACTCAGGAGCCCGTTTTGAGGAATCTACTAGAAAATGAACTCCAATCAACCAACAGATGACCAGGAAAACTTCCGCAAAAGGAGTAATGGACAGCATTTAATAATTTAATTGTAGATCTAGGACAAGAACAAAGATGAGTAAGAAGTGTACAGAATACAATGGTGGAAAAAAAAAAGAAATAGAAGATAGACACACACATGTATGTAACTGTGTGTATGCAGGTATCTATTTGTACAGCTGGAATTCAATGTTCTTAAAACAGTTCTTGTCCACCAAAATAAAGGGAGAGAAAGATCACAATTTACTCGTTACCAATGAGACCATAACGTTCCTTAGATCATCAGTACGCTCCATTCCACACTAAGGTGTGTGGATCTGACCACCACGTTGTCATCAACTGGCAGGACGCTCATTTGATGTCTGCATGATTAGCAAGTTTACCCTTCACCTATACTGTGGAATGTTTTTATAAAAGATTATCACTTAAAAACCTTTCAAAACAAATCAGTTTGGATGTTTCCAATATTCAAATACCCAAATAATGATAGTCTACCGTAATTCTAATATACAGTTTATGGTTTTATATCTTCTAAGTGGGCAATCATAATATCTGTGAATAATAACTGATTTATGCCTAATTTCTTTTCCTTTTTGAATCACACTGGTTGAGACCTTCAAAGCACTACTGAACACCAGAGGCAAGCATAGGCATACTTGTCTTATTCCTGAACTTAATGTAAAGCAATCTAATGATATGTTTTTTAATGTGATGTGTTTGTTTCTCACGACAGTCTTTCTCAAACTAAGTTTCTTTTTATTTCTAGTTTTAGAGTTTTTATCAAAACATAAATGTTGAATTTTGTTAAATGACTTTTTTTTCATCTATGGAAATATTTCTTTCCCCGACACAATGAACAAAGAGAATCACATTAACAAATTCCTAATGTCAAACCATCCTTATATTCCTGGGGTGAAAAAAGTCCTCCGGTATATTCTCTTAATATAATGCTTTATTTGGTTGCTATAATTTTATGCAATGAGAATAGACCATAAGTTTCTTTTTTATGCAATTTGTGTCCAGATTTGATAACTGTATGAGCCTTTTAAGTGAATTTGGAAGCTTTCATTATTTTTTCTGATCTGCAACAGTTTACATAATATAAAAGTTATAGGCTTTTTCAAGGTGTGACAGACCTCACTGACAAAACCTTCTGGACCCTATTTTCAGTCTAACCACCATTCTCCTGATTAAGACGATTCAGGGAATTCTAGTTTTCTTTAAACTACTGTCTGAGAGTCAGTGAAGTGTGGTGGTGCTCTGCAGTCACAACTGCCTGGGCCTGCCTACACCCGCCTCAGCCACTTCCTAGCTGTGTGTCCTTGGTGAACTCCTCTCAGGAGGCTTCAATTCTCACACCTGTAAAATGGGGAAAACAGGAGTATCTACTTAATAAAACTGTTGTGAAGATTACGAGTTAAGATGTGCAAAGCACTTAGAACTGTGCCCGGCCCACTCTAAATTTCAATAAATGCTAGTTATGGTTACTGTTATTATTTAGGATATTTTTCAAATTAATTAGAATAAAGTCACCCATAACAATCTTGTACTTTAAAAAGATCTTCTGAATGTTATTATTTAAATTTACTGATATCGTCCTCTTATGTTTTCTCTCTTTTATGCTTGACCGGATTTGCCAGAAGTTATCAATTTCACTGGCTTTTTCAAAGAACTAGTTGGTTTTATTTATCCTATCCCTTCTTTTAAATTTCTTCACTTTGTTCATCATTTTAGTTCTTTTTCTGCCTTCTTGAACTGAATACTTAGTTCACTTATTTCTAGTCTTTCTTAACGTCTAATAAATGTATGTTTACCTCTGCATAACACACTGTCCATATCACACAGGGTTTGATGTAAACTGTTCTCATTCTCATATATTTCTCAATAGTCTGTAATTTCAATTTTTATTTCCTCTGTAACCCAACAGTTTTATGGTTCTATTGACTTTAAGTCGGAAAATCTAATCCATATAATTACCACTTTTTGGAATTTGTTAGGTTTTCTCTATGACCTGTTACTTCATAATTCTATTAATATTCCATTGGCATCTGCATAGAAAATATATTCTTTGTACTTGTATCTGTAGCTATAAAATCATGCTGTGTTATTCAAATTCTTTAGAGCCTTAGTTAACAGCTTTTGCTTTAAACATTTCAATGCTAAATGCTTGGTACAAAAAGGTTCATGGTCGTCAAATCCACTTAATGGATATTACGTTTTATCAATATAAATTAACATTCTTGTCTCATTGAGACATTCCTCAACCCCTTTGAATTTCATCTTGTCTAGTTTTAGGTGCTACTGTCTTGCTTCGGTCATCAATCCAGCATATATCTTTGGTTTTTGCAATATTTTCATCACTTGCTTTAAATAGTAAGAGAAGGGTTTTTATATTAACTCAACCTGGAAGCTTCCATATTTTAATAGTGAAGTGGTAGCACAAGTGTCATACTCTATTCAAATCTAAAATTCACTGACATTTTCAATATAAAAAAAGCAGTTTGTCCTATATTTACAAAGTACAGCAAAACCGGTAGGTAGGTAGCTGGCAAAAAATATTTTGCTAATTCTAAGGGAGTACCATTTAAATATAGTTAAATATAGTTAACTGCAATGTAAGAAAATCCTACCAACACTGACACATTTCCAAAATAATACATGGGCATTTTGCAGGGTACAGAAGTTTCAGTTACTACATTCCAGCTGACAGCAATAACAAACTTCTAATACTGAGAAGCTGCCATAATTTTAAAGAAAGAACCAGTCTTAGAAGAGCCGATGTATAACAAGAGATGCAACCAGAAGAGACAGACAGAACAAAGAAAGGAAGAGACGTAAGTGAGGAGATGGAGAGGTTGAAAAGTAGAAGAGCCACTAAAAGAATGAAAAAAAAATCACTGTCATTACATTTACAGAAAAGCCACTAAGTATAAGTTACTGTGCCTTGTGCATACAGTTTTATTTCTATAAAACTGAGCTGCATCTTTAAAATTGATGTGCACTTTTAATATAGCCTTCATTTATTATTTACCCAAAAGCTACTCATTAAATTGATGTTATAGCTTATAATCAACCTTTTCTAAGAATTGAGGAAATACAAAAGATAGAACATATTTATAAAAAGACAAAATATTTATAACAAGATTCAAAATAAAAGTTATTTTTAAAGAGCACAGTGGAGCAATAGAATGATAGAATGCCCATCTTTGAACATAGGTAAGACCTAGCAGAAACATCAATGCAAAACAAACAAATTTTTCATAGAAATATCTGCTTTCTTACCAATCTCCATTTAATCAACTCTAAAACATACTAATGCTGCCTGCATACTGAGCATTTGTGGCTACCAGGCTATTCTCTCGTATTTCTATACATTTCTGCTGCTGAGTACTAATAGTCAGTTGTGTTTATTCCCAAAACAGATGAAATATGAGTGAAAACAGAAAAGGTAGTTGCTACTTATATGAAAGCTAAGCTGAATGCTTTAGAAATAGAAGTTACTATAAAAAAAAGGCTTGTTCAACTTTAGCGTGCTTAGGGGAATAATCTGTAGAAATACAGAAACATTCTGCACCCAGATGTCTTAGGAAGCTTCTTTAAGTTCTTTACTCCACTGTAAGGAAATCAAAACTAAAACACTTCAATGATGCATCAGTGGCAGAGTTATGCAAAAGAAACAGATACAGACTCAAATAAAAAAACCTCTAGGGTTACAGCAAAAGATTGATAAATAAATATAAATTTATATTTTGAGTATTTTTAAGAAATGATTTCTAGCTTCAATACTTTTTAAATTAACTGACAACTACTACCAGTCCTCATTGGATAGGAGGCTTCTAATGTAAATTAGAAAACAGTAAATACCCTATTTCCTGGCAATCTTAAAGTTTGTTGTATGTTTTCTTCAAGATTTTATTTTACACATTTAAAGATAAAGAAAATCTTAAAAGAAGCCAGAGAAAACAGGGGTCCAGATAAGAATGATGGCTAACCACTCATCAGAAACAAGGCAAGACAAAAGAGAATGTAATCACATCAATAAAGTAACCAAAGACTAAAAAAGGGGGGAAAATCTGTATTCAGTGAAAATATACTTCCAAAATAAAGAAAAATTAAAAGTTTTCATGTAAAAAATCTGAATTAGTCTCCAGCAGATCTGTACCAAACTCTTCCTCAAAAAGGCATGTTAGAACGCAAATAAATTAGTGTGACAGTAGTATAAGCATAAATTCTAATCCGATCTAATTTTAATATTATTTAATTAGAAAGAAACAGTTTATAAACTCCAGTCATTCATTATTAGTTATAAAATATTTTTTACCTACTTCACAACTACCATGACATAGGACTGCATCTGCACAACACTCACATGACGATTGGTATGTCACATAAGACTGCAGTCAAGAAAGAACCATTTATGTCATTCTTCAGCAAACTTACCCCTTTGTTTTGGAAAAATCTGTTCAGGATGCTGTAAAATAAATTAAAAGTGCATTAGATAATTACCGTAACATATAAACCTTAGTGAAATTTTTAAAAATATTAATTAAGATAACTACCTTCATTATTGGCCTGGCTCGCTTCTCAAACAAACCACTGGGAAAAAGGTAAGCGATAGCTCTCTGAAAATACACACAAAGGTTAATCAACAATGGTCATAAAACAAGTTAATGTTACGAATAATAGTTACTGAGTGCTTACTTTGTTCCAGACATCGAACTAAGAGTTTTGTGTACATAATCTCATTTCACAATCTTTTAAATGGGATAATAAAATTACCATATACACATCCCCCAAAAGAAAAAAAAAATTTTAACTATGAAACTAGTTATTAACAATTTTCAAGTGTCAGCTTCCAACATGAATGTGACACCAGAAATCATCTCTCTCTTCTTTTTTAAGGGAAAACTGGAGGTGCTCCTCCACAACCTCTGTGGCAATGTGCTCGAGAGCACTCATTCTGACTCCCAGTTGGTAGACAGATCCAAGACAGAGCACTGAAAAGGGCAGGCTCTGAGTCTCAGCCACTGCGACACTCAGTGCTTTCAGATGCTCTTTGAACTTCTCCTACAAGCTGTGAGAAGTTTTTAAACTACATTTTTCCAAACAAGTTCTCTTAAATGTCTGTTTCTCAATGGGGATGCTATTGGCATTCTGAGTGTCACCACTCCGGTGCAGGTAACTTGTCCCTACAATGCAGGTCATTGAACATCCCTGGCCCTTTTCCAAAACTCTGTGCCAGTAACATCCCCAGCGCTTGTGACAAATCTCCCCGCACACATTTCCAAAGGCCCTTCACCTCCCAGGAAGCAGTACCGCCGCCAGCTTGAGAACAACTGCTCAAGCCATTAGTGTCTTCTTCAGTATGCCTCCTCGCAATTGAAAGCAAAACAAAAACCAAAAACATGCATTTTCATGTTTGTTGAATGGTGTCAGATGAAAAGTCTGTGGCCTTGGATCTTAGCACCCTATGTGAACTTCAGCTGAACTGGCAGCTCACATAAACACAGCACACAGTGCTGCTCTTTCACAAAGCCTGTTCTCAGGATGGGTCTTCTCTGCCCATCCACACAGCAAATGTGCTGGACCGCACTGTGCCCCTGAAAGGAGAGGCCAGTTAATTCTGGGGATATAAATTCAACTATATTAGAGAGCCCAGGTGTGTCTCTGGGTCAAGCATCATTCTCTCATTCAGTCTTTTGGCAATAAAATTGACACTAAAAAAACACCTTAGATCAAATATCAGAGTGTTAATTTTGTGAACTTACTTTCTTTTTAAAACCAAGGATGCTGCTCCCTCCTTCTCTGAAGAAAAGGTAAACTTTTTAATAAGTGATGTTGAGACAACTTGATTGCCATTTGGAAAAAGACAAAACTGGATCCAAACCTCACACCAGACACCAGAATAAACTCCAAATGAGCCAGAGAGCTAAACATAAAAAATGAAATCACACGAGTACTATAAGACAACATGGGCAGATTCTTTTATAATCTAGATATGGGAAGAGCTTTCTTAACTACAACTCTAAATTCAGAAGCAAAAAAAATAAGATTGACCAATTAAAAACTACATAGAAAAAAAGAAAAATATGGTTCAAATGTATCCATAATAAGAAAAGTGCAATTAAAATTATTGAGATAACACTTCTCATCTAACAGGACTAGCAAAAATTCAAAAGCTTGACAGTACGCTCTTGGCAACGTTTTAGAGACACTGACACCTTGCTGGTGTAAGTGTCAAACAGTACAACCTCTACACTTGGAAGTTCGACACTATCTAACAAAACCACATATAAATTTCCCCCAGCACTCCCACTTGTACAAATTTACTCTGAAGATACATCCCAACAAATACAACACAACATAAGCACAGGTTATTCACTGATTTATAAGAACAAAATATTAGGAACCCCAAATCCACACACAACAACAAACACCACCACAAAGGTTGGCTGCATAAATGATGGTATATCTACCCAATCAAGTCCTCTACAGCCATAAAAAAAAAGACGGAGGAAAGCAAGATGCAAAAGAAATGTACTTAGAATGCAACCATTGGTGTAAAAAAGAAAAACAGAAATAAGAAAACACACATTGGAATAGGAAAAAAATATACATAGGTTTCTTTTTGTAAACACAAAGGGAGGACAAAGTAGAAACTAACAAAAATCATTATCTATGAAGGGATGGGTGGGAGCAGGGTGAGGGGCACAGGGATGGACTAAGACTTCTCTGGATATACTTTTTTATACAGTTGAACTTTGAAGCATGTAAATGTTGTACATATTAAAGACTAAAATTTTCAAAAGAAACTCTAAAACTTAATACAAATAGAAACAAATGAACCTAATTTCTAACAACAAAAAATAACTGCAAAGAAATCTTCAACTTTACTTGGTAGGCTTACTGCTAAGAGTGAATAAACATTATAATTCTGAAGTATTTTGTGCATATTGTAGCATAAAGCAAATAAATAAATATATTAATTTTATGGTGACCAAAATTTTATTGTAGGAAGAGAGATAGACATATAAAAGAAGAAACATAATGTTAAGTAATGTTAAGTTTGAATCAGAAAAATCAATACCAATTCATGATCCTTAAAAAATATTATTTCCTATATTATTCTTATAATATTTTTAAAATATTATTTTTTAGTTCTGTCCCCTGAAAGAGCATAGAAGCGATGGAACTCCAGGAGCAATATGTGGCCCCTAGCATCCAAATCTTGGTTTCTAAATACAATTTTCTAGTATAAGGACAGAGTATCTTGGAGAAATAGCTGATTGTAGGCCTAAGGCAGGGAAAGTAAAAATGAACCTGAGACATCTTCCTGTGCCAGAAAACAAGGAAGTGCTCAAAAGGACACAAAAGCCAGCTTCAAGGGGCTCCCAGTGGCCAAACTTGCAACAATTTGAACATCAAAAAAAAAAAAAGGCAATGACAATACCTTATAACATACTCAGCATGTGGGCATGTTATGTTTAAGAGTGTACATATATACATTAAGACATACACATACTCTCACGGTGCGGGGGCGGGGGGTGCAAGGAGCAAAGGAAAGCCTCTTTGTAGAACAATACCAATTAAAAGTAGAAGGAATGACAGTAGTAGAAAATCATTGTTTTACAACTTCCAAAGTAATCATTACTTTCAGGCAAGGATCATCAATGGATGCTAAAGTCACCGGCTGAAAGGTCATTGGGAAATAGTATATTCACACGGACTCAAAAATACCATCCTACAGATTACTTACTAGTTACAAAAGGAAAAACTTACTTTTAAAATAAAGAGGTCTAGTGGTCACCACATTAACCAAGGGATCAGACACACAGTCAACCGTGGAACAAACTGACTATGTACCTCCTGGTGTGAGCCTATGAGAAGTATATAACATCACATAAGTAGTATCATTTATACATTCTAAATCTGATCATGAGGAAGCAATGAGAAAGCCAGAACGTGGGACAATTGGACAAGACAAGTGGTCTGGATTCCATAAAACAACTAGCTAGCTATATTTTAGTAGAAAGACATTTGCGCAAACCCTTCTGAATACAATATTTAACTCTCCATCTCTACCCTTACCCTCACTAATTTGCCCCTTTGGTTTCCTCAATCAGTTTCTCTCAAAAGCCAGAAGCTGAAAAACCTTCCCCAAGCTCCCTTTGCAGACGACGGCCAACTTCATCCTCACTCCTTACACTCGAAAGCCTCTGTCCCACACTGGGAAAACATTTCATGGAAGATAAATTCTTCCATGGACTGACTCGAGTGCTTGGGGCTTCCCAAAATACACAATAACTAAAAATACAATTTCTCAATTTGACATAAAGCTAAGGAAGGTATTTCAAATAAGATAATTATAATATAGAATAAGTAACAAAAATGTTTGGGGGCAGAAGGGCTATTTCACAGAAAACTTTAAATAAAGGTAAAAATTTGGATGGGAAAGCTTCAGAAGTATAACTAGAAAACAAAATGAGAAACACAAAGGCAAACAAAGTCTTAAAATACTTCAGTATTTTTTTAGCAGTTTTCCTGATATGCTATTCAGAAATATCTATATTAGCATGATAAAAAAATGCAGAATTTAAATATTATGATAGGTGAAATTAAATCAACCAGAAAACCATTGGAGGAAGGTGGTGAGGGAAATACTTGTCTCTCTGCTAATGCTAACGGACCTGTCAATTGCTCTGTTCTCTGACTCCCCCGTGCATGTGTCCCACTTACCAGGCTCTGGAGAAAAACCACCAGCAGGAAATGGTCTAGGCCCTTAAGTATCTTAAAATTAGAGGAAAATTGGCATTTCACATCTGAATTACGGTTTGGCCCACTTGGACCAAGTTTCTAACCATGACAGAATTAACAGAAATTTCATAATCATCTGAAATAAATACTTTTTCCACTTCTAAACAATATGCACGAAAAAATGGTTATTTTACGAAACACCCAACCCTCCCACAAAAGCAGAAAACAAAAATATGTACATCGGGTGGGACTCAGTGAATGATTCCTCAAGAAGCTTGAAAACTATATTACTAGCCCAATATTTTTATTCGTCTTAGGCTTAGCATTTGTGTTTCCTGAGACCTTTTCTCATTCCGGGAACCAGACTTTGGATGTGGCCTTAGTTAGCACACTGGTATTCACACCTTCATGACTATATACCTGAAATAGATACAAAAGCATTGCCGCCCTCTGATCTAAGGTTGCTGATGCCTTAATCTTTCAGTTTTAATTTCACTCAGAAGAAAATCTGAGCCACAGGAATAGAAAACAAAGGGCATTTTCCTATAATAAGTTCTAGCTTAATATTTCCTATATTAAGTTCTGGAATTTACATAGAATTCAACTTGGTAACTTAGGTGTTTTAAGCTAATGTCAACTTAGGTGTTTTAAACTAATGTCACATGAAAAAATTGTTACATTGGTTAGGTTCAATGCTTAGTTGTCGCAAAAACAAAAGACAAAAACCCTGCTTCTTCCAGGAAAAATAATTGGAGTATACATTTAATGACAAGTATAGAACCCTCTAGAAATTTATTTAGAAATGTCTAATATACAGCACGGTTTACCTGAATCCCAAACAACAAAAAATGCTGACAAAAATAAGGAC